CAGCATTAATTTGTTTCACCACGTTTTTCACATCAGCTGTGAGATGGGCAGACATGGAGTCAGATTAACAGCGATGGTGTGGCGATGAGTGGAGAGAAAACACCTGGTCTCCTTACATTCACCTCCCTCAGCCACTCTTTCATCATCTCCTCAATGAGGTGGTCTCAAAAGTCGCAGTTGCAACACACATAGGGCGCACCGCACCAAAGGGCGCACCGCACCAAAGGGCGCACCGCACCAAAGGGCGCACCGCACATTTTGAGGGAAAAAAAAGACGTTTATGTGCGCCATATAGTCGTGAAAATACGGTATATAACCTACAAACATTTTTTTAAACATAAAATTGTATCACTTTTTAATTTTAAACTGATTCCTAATATAAAAAAATAACTATATGTCATGCTTTTTGCCAGTTAATTTAAAATACGCAAGAAAGAATTTTTTTTTTCTATCATCCAAAGTTTATGTAGAAATATTAATTTATTAAATTTTATTTTTAGAGTGTTTCATTTCAAAAGTATTTTTGTTAACCTTGATGTCACTGTAATGTGCAGTACAAAATGTATTATTACAGTTATAAATGTTTGCCATTTTCCTTGTGAATAATAAGCAAAAAGGCACCTTTCAGATAAAACGAACCAGACAAATAAATTCCATATGTGTAAATATTTATGTTAAAAAGACACAAAAATCAACACACAGAAAAATTTTGATTAATCAGTCCAAAATTGACAATAGTTTAATCAGTGAATCACAATATGAAGGTGTAGGTACAGCCAAAATGTATTTGTTTTTTCTACAAGGAAAGTGATAGTCTGTCTATTACACCTTGTTGTTGTTGTTTTTTGTTGTTTAAGTGGTGACAAAAAATTAATAATTGATACCAACTTAAATTGGAAATGTCAAAACCTTCAGCCAGAACGGATCAAGTTTTGAGGTGTGACCTCCTACCTAACTTCCTAAAAGGACCTTCTTGTGTTAAAATAGTTAACTGATAATTTGGCTCCGTATCAAGTCTTTTTAAATATATGGATGAAATCAACTAAAATCCTGCATTAGTTGAATGAAAATATGCTTAAAGTAACCTGATATGTTTTATGTCGAGGGGCCTTCCAGCTGGCTAGAAGCTGATGAGCAGTACTATTCTGCTCTAACCCTGCTCACTGTGGCATTCTTCTGTTTCTCATTTAAAGTATTACAAACTGCACAAGAGGTATAATGGAAAATTTTAGACATAAAACCCTAATTATTCAAAATCTTGGCACACACTTCTGCCAGCAGATGGTCATGTTTAGATCCAACAAACAAACTGCAGAAACTTTGGATTTATAAGATATCAACAGTGTGTTATTTCAGAAAATACATCTACATATTCTTCTTTTTTTAAATTGTTTAATAGTCCTCCGCTAGCAGCCTTCAGGGCAGGCTGCCCTGCTTGTTTCAACTGTGTACGTGCGCCAAAACACCTGATTCAACAGCTTATCAAGTTTTTACAGAACGAGGGAAACTTGTAAAGGCTGCGCAGCATTGGGCCCTGGGGATTAGGATTGTGTCATGCCTTAGCGCAATACAAGATTTTTACTTGAGGGAGAATTATGTACACCTCATGTTGACTCGTTAATAAAATAAAACACAATGTTGAAAAGTTGTCAAAGTAGACCATGCTTGAGGTAGCTGGAAGACACCTTATTAATGCAATTATTCTCTGCTTTATGTGACTTGTGTTTTCCTCCAAGACTTTTTTCTTGGATCTGCATAGAGTCAGATGGTTTATGCCTCTATTAAAAGAAGCACCTCTCAAAACCTTCACAATAAATGCCTTATCTATGAAAAAATGCAATGCGTGTTTACAATGGTGGCTGCAGTTTGACCTGGAAAGATGTAATTTCCTGCAGATGACATAAAGGTAGTAGGAGTAAGAAGAAATTATTACGGCTGCTACTGCTTTATTGATGCTGAAATTGAACTGATTCGTAGAAAGAATCTTGATTTATTTTGATCTTTCACTGATACATATATTAGCTGTAGTGCAGTTTGTCCAAAGGGTGTTTTTATTTTGAAATTACAGGTAAATAGTTAAGTTAAAAAAAACAAACATTTCCAGATGTAGTCAGCTGCATGTGTTTAGGGCAAAGTTTGTCTGATGTAGGGTTGTCAAAAGTATCGATACTCAAAAAAGTATCGATACTGAAATGTTGTATCCGGATACAATACTCATTTTTTAAACACTTTTTTAACACTGTGTGATTGAATAATTCTGTGCACTTTTCAGTTTCAGAGGTGCAGCTGCTGAGAATAATTTTTATTTCTTAACCGGTTTGGCTAGCGTCATTGTTATATGTGCAAAGCACAGCCAAGTAGGAACACTTAATTTTAATTTTAGAAGTTTTTTATCAAGCTTGCTTAATATTGTGCACAGCATACAATCTCAAAAAATTGTTCTTATTGTTTATTGTATTTATTTATTGTATTTTATTTATTAATGAAAATATTTTTGTAGAATTTTGGAGTCTTTGTTTTTATCCTTGTGGCATCGAAAATGGTATCGAGTAT